GAGAAATCAATTGGGACCTGAAAAAAGCAGGAAAGCTTGTTTTTCTTTTCCCGATTATGAACAAACAGGAAAATGATGGTGAAGACGACTGAATTAACTGCAGAAGCCAATATTTTAAAGTTTCTCATGTTGACCTGACTGACAGTCGATTTAATTTTTTTTAAACTATTTTAAACAATTTTAACAAAAACAAACCTGATTTTAAAAAACTTGAATGTTTAATGAAATTTAAAAATCATATGCTTGTTTTTTTTAAAAATTATACGTTTACTGTTCTGGATTTTTTTCTTCAATACATAATGTTGTTGTTTTACTTAAATAAAACAATTTAAATGTCTGTCTGGTGATGTTCTCCTCCTAATACAGGATGGCAAGAAAATCCTCCAAATATTAATGATTAAACTGTTGAATTGGAGATATTTATTAAATCATTGGGAGGTGAACTATCTGCTTCAATTACCTTTGGTAAATGAAATAACCAAACAATCATTCATTTTCTGATATATCTGTAAAACTAATCTGAAAAGTTTTCAAAATAAATCACTTTAAAAATGTATAGTGTAAAAATTAAACCTACATCTATCTCAAGAGTTGTGAATAATATGCATTAAGATCATAACAACCAACAAGAATGCACTTTTATGTAGAAATCCATGATTAAGTTGAGTCTTCCTGATTAGTGATTTAAATCAAATCCACCCTGCCTGAATTATTCTTATAGCTCTTTGCTGAACCTGATTTTTCAACATCTTTTTTTTAAAAACTGTGGACACCAGAACTGGACACAGAATTCCAGCAATGGTCTCACTAATGCCATATGCAGAAATAATGCCACCTCCTGAATCCTTCTTGATATTATCCCTCTTATACATCCTACGATCACATTCACCCTCTTAGCTACACCATCGTATTGGAAGCTCATATTCAACTGGTTGTGTTCTATAACCCCTAAAGCTTTTAGAGAGAGTCACTGCTTTTAGGATACAGTCCCCAATCTTATAAGTGTAACCTACATTCTTTGTTCCTAGATGTATGACCTTGCATTTGGCAACATTAAAATGCATGCTCAAATAAGCCCACCAAATGATTCAGGTCTTAACTAACCTGTTCCAATCATTTACCATTCCACTAATTTGTGTCATCTGCAAATTTTACCAGCAATGATCTTATATTTTCTTCTAAATCATTGACAAAGATATGGAATAGCACTGGGCCAAGAACAGATCCCAGACAGGCCCCACTAGAAACACCCACACTGGACCACTATTCCCTGTTTACAATTACTTTTTGTGAGCTATCAGTTATTCATCCATTTAATATGGGCTGCATTGATCTTCAAGATATATTTCTCCTCAAAACCGAATGTTACGTGGGAATACATCAAAATGCCTTACAAAAGTCTAAGTATACTATGTTTCCACCTTTATCAAGCAAACTCATCTAAAAAAATAAATAGTAAATTTGACAAGATGTATTTTCTGTAAAGCCATACTGATTAGCTTAATCATGCTACAATCCTGTAATTCTCTCTGACTGCATCCCAGATCAGCTTTTCCAAGGCTGGGATTTTGCCTGGGATTGATGTCAGGCTAACTATCCTACAGTTTCCTAGGTCCCAATTTACAACCTAATTTCTGTCAAACATTAGCTTTTTCTAGTCCTCTCGACCTGTGTGACTGCCCCAAAATTTGTTTTAAAGTTTTAATGGTTGAGAAAAAATGATGCTGATGCACAAGTTCAGTGGTTAGTTCAGCTTAGCCTATAATTAAGATTTGTAAGTTGGCATGCAGCTGTACCAGAGAAAACAGAGCAGAACATTAAGGGCCAAACCCTGCAGTCCTCAGTCAAAGCTCACACTGTCTTCAAAGGTAGCTTTGATTATACTGCAGGGTTTGGCCCTGTTTGTGTATATCCTACATTGTCATGGTTTAATACCATTTATGTAAAGCATCTAGGTAGCCGCTCTACATTTAAGTAGTGATTATTTAGGCAGAAAGATTAAAGCAGAAGAGATTTTATGGGCAGTATGTTCAGGTTCTAAGAAGTGATGCATCACAACTAACAGTAAGTATTTCCCCCTGTGATCAACTTCTAAATATTTAAATACACTAGCAGGACCATGTGCAATAGCAACTTCTGATTCAAATAATATTACATAGATAAACAAGATGTTCTTTCAGTTTTTAATTTCTCATTAAGAGTTTCAAGACTAAACATTCAGAATCCAGCCCCAACACACACACACTAGAAACATTCTCAAATTCTTTGTCTGAATTTGACTTAGTGTTCCTTTAAAAAGTGCGTGTAAGTGTAATGTTACCAAACTATGAGACATTACTAAAGATGCTCCCCATTATATGAATTGGCACAATGTCCTTTAAAACACCACGTAAGAGTGAAGAACTATTTTGACAAAAAATTAGTACATTTATGCTGAAAAGTTAAAAACCCAGCAAATATTTCTGTTTCTGAGTTATCTACAATTAGTGTTAAATTATTGTAATTCAAAAGGGGTTTTGCATAGCCCAATCAAACAAATTACTATTACTTTTCTTTAACATTAACAATCTAACAGATCCACAGAATGGATTCTATGTTTGGCTGAACCTAGTAATCAACACTAATACATCATAACATTACATTTATGTATAGTGTTACTTACATGACATTGTGTGGTAAATGCTGGGCCAGTACTGGCCACTGTCCCTTTTCAGCCATACTCGAATTGTTCTGCAGGATTTAGGGGAAAGGAGGAAGAAAAAGAGAAAAGTTGTAAGCTTGTGTATCAATCGTTACACCTATACTGGTGTGTTTTTTGTTTTTTTTTTTTTAAAGTACTCAAGTAACCCCTCTGCTTTTCTACTACCCCATTTTAATATGGCACTGGATAAGGTCTTCAGAGAGGACTCTGAACAGCTTCCTCCACAGCAGTTGTAATGTTATCTGAGTAGGTATAGGAGACTTTGAGGAAGACTACTCCAGTCCTTCTGTCAGAGAATAGTTCATTACATCTATTATATATTCTTTGTCAGACAGCATCAAAGAAACGAGATTTAAACCTGATCCAGGATTTAAGCCTCATCCTACTGTCAAACCAGACCACATTTTATATATAAACATCAAATTATGTTTATACTACATAATTACATTCAAACTAACAGATAGTAGGTCACAAAGATCAGTTGGGTCACCCATTCTGATTCTCTGCATTTTTCAGGGCTGCTCCTGTTTTATCTACCCTGGTATCAAACAGTAGCAGTGATGGTGGCTCAACCCCTTCCTTTTGTAGTCCATTCCACTGCACAAAATGCTCAACTTAAAAAACAAACAAAAAAAGTTATATTTACTACTGCTACAAGTGACCTAAAACATGGCAAAGATGACCCCCCCCCAAAAAAATTTCCCCCAATCTCCCCCCTTCCTCCTCTTTCATGTATGACCAATTTCCTTGTTTTGTTGTTAGTTGCACTTGGCCTCATGCACAAGCACGAGACCATCTGCTGCTGAGGGGAGCTCCCTTGTACATAAAATGTAAATAAAAAAAGTGTTGATCTGTTTAAATTAGCAACAAAACCAGAACAGAAATGGAGACAATATGCAGGTTTGCACACGTAAGGCCTGCTCCCATTGAAGCCAATGATGCAGGTCCTTAAAAGAAGGGAAAGGGCTAGAAAAGTGATCTTCAGAAAATTTAGTACTGTTGCTCCTGTGCCTGCCTGAAGGCTTTTTGGAGGTGAGTGGGAAGAAGAGGAAGCACAGCTAGCAGCAGAAAACCTGTATTTTTATATGATAAATATTTGAGACATGACATTTAAGAGACTTCAGCAGAAGATTAAAAAAATAAATTAAAAAAGATTCAAGTAGACAGCGTCACTAAGATTTTTTTTTCCAGTCTAGTTTTAACTTCCCCTTTCCCAAGGCTTTACTAGCTAGTCTCCCCTTTTGTGGCTGAGAGTAATTTGGGCCTCCATTTATACTATTATCTTGAAGACAGTTACAGATTACACCCTGAGGGAATGAGGAAATCACATTCACAAGGTACTACCACTGAAATGTGATACATTTAAAGACAGGGCACTGTTTTCACAAACGGTTGGATGGAGTTGGTTGATTGTTTTGGGTGGCAGGGGGATTGGCAATTATATTGCTTTTTAGAAGAGTTATGTCCTGTCACAAGTTACAGCAAGCTTACATTTTCTGCTCACCCACACAGGACTGTTAGACAACTAAATTAATTTTAACTACAATAGAAGACGAAAAGAGGGCAAATAGATATGGCATTTGGATTGGTGTATTTTCAAGGCTGGACTACAGTGTATTATATTAGAATTCCAACCAAAAATTTTACATAAAAAAGGCTATTCGGTTTGCAGTTCATACTGGTACAAATGCCAAAGTTTTGACATGGCAAAGTTAGAGTTGCCAGTGCATCCCCTAACTCAGGCTATTTTGCATATGCATTATTAATAAGTTATGTCATATGTGACCACATACCCAATTTCCCCCAGGAAGGCTGGACATCAAGCCTGCTGTTCAATTTTTATTCAACATGTCATCCCATGCTCCACACACTGCACTCCACCCAAGCCCCTCAGTTATATATATGTGTACCAGTATGAACTGCAAACCAAATAGCCTTTTTTATGTAAAATTTTTGGTTGGAATTCTAATAGAATACACTGTAGTCCAGCCTTGAAAATACACCAATCCAAATGCCATATCTATTTGCCCTCTTTTCGTCTTCTATTGTAGTTAAAATTAATTTAGTTGTCTAACAGTCCTGTGTGGGTGAGCAGAAAATGTAAGCTTGCTGTAACTTGTGACAGGACATAACTCTTCTAAAAAGCAATATAATTGCCAATCCCCCTGCCACCCAAAACAATCAACCAACTCCATCCAACCGTTTGTGAAAACAGTGCCCTGTCTTTAAATGTATCACATTTCAGTGGTAGTACCTTGTGAATGTGATTTCCTCATTCCCCAGAAATTATGCTTTACAGAAGCAGGGGTTGTTTTCCCTCATTTAATAAAACAGATGTGAACCATTCATAACACTGTTCCCAAAAAGTCCACATGCTCCTTCCATTTGGGCACTGCTATTTAAACACACACACACACACACACACCCCCCCCAATAACCACCGTTATTTTTTCCATAGCTTTTAGAAAGTTTGGATCATTTTACCTGCTGCTTTTTAATGCAGCTTCATGTCACTCACCAAAACGGTTTGAAGAATTTCCCAGTGCAGCTTTCAGATGCACTAATTCAAGCATCTTTCACTTTTGACCAAAGCCCTTCAATTATCTTTGTTCTCAACTGACAGAAGAGTGAACTGCAGTAATCATAGCAATTGAAAAAATGCATTACAAATTTTGCAAGCATATAGCCTTTGTTTCCTCTTAGGTCTCGTGTACATTTCAACGTTCTTGAAAACAGTACCATGATGGCATAACATTGCCAGCTTGTTGCTAGTCAGATACTCAAGACAATATGTAGTGCATATAGTATCTGTTACAGAGATACAGTTCCTCTCCTTGCAGTTTGAAGGCCACATAGCTGGAGACTAAGGTCAGCCAAACAAAATCTCTTAGAAAGTTTCTTTTCATGTTGATTTAAAAGAAAATCCAGATAAGAATTAAACCACCAATATCAGGTTTGCATTTTGCAATCATTCAAGACTGATGAGACTATTATTGCTCCAGTCCCTCTGTTAGTACTGTAAATGTATAATGTTATGAAGCATAGCAAATTTTGAAGAGACCCTTGTCAATAATGACTAATTATACAGCCAACACTGATTTCTCCACTTCTCTTTTCTTTGCCTCTTAGATGTCTGCAGCTGCAGTGCTCTTCCTCTTCCTGAACAATGGAGTGAACTTCTTGGTAGGTGATGCCAATTCTAATACAAGAAGAGACTAGAATGAAGTGCTCCTATAGCAAATGATCTTTCCACACACCTCTCTTATGTACACTATCCATTTCAGGAATTATACAACAGAGTCAAAAATCACTCATGAACCCCAGCTCTTTCATGATCAATCCATTCTCAATCCCATTTTAATTTAACAAATGGTCCAGTGCTTAATACACAGAACTAGAACTTCGGGGAATTTGGTTCTTGCTTATCCTTCCATAGACTTCTTCTGTAACTGCAGATAACATTACTCAACTTCTCTGTAACCTCAAATTCCCTTATGAAACACAGAGGTAATACAGACCTATTTTACATGGATGTTGTGAGGCTAAACTTAGAGATCCATTAACGTGGACACTACAGAAGTATAAAATATTCAGTTTATACATTGTTTATTTCAAACAATCATTAAAGGATACTCTTCTGGGATGTAATATAAAATGAAAAGTGACTAAGCTAAAGTAGTAGCCCCTCCAGGATAGAGATAATATTACAAATCATAGCTACACCCAAATGTGAATTTCAGTTTGTCTCATTGTGTGAAAAGTTAATTTAAAATAAAGTATTTTTCAGAAGCTCTTACAAACCATATTTATTGTATCCTCAAGATTTGATCAATGGGAGTTTCTTACTTGGTATTTCATTGGTTGAACATTTTGTCACTTGAGATAACCTTATGAAGGCATTAAGACCAAGGAAAAGTACTGGAATTCCTCAGAACTCCATCAACGCATTCAGTTCAGCTAAACTCCAACTTATTTTTTAAACTCCTCTTTGAATAAATTAGGCCTACTATTTAGGAAAAAATGCAAGGGCCGGGAGTCTTTGGGGAGGGGGAACCAACCTGAATGTAAGTCTGCATTTGTGCTATTAGCAAGTCTTAGCATGCAAATATTGGTACAACCACAAACACTGTCCTCTGCTTTAAAAGAGGTGGCACTTAATGACTTTTGCTTTAAATACTAAATAATTCTGATAGGCTAACAAAGATTTCAAGGCTGGCACAATTTTCTGGCAGACGGAACACTACCATCAACATGTTTCCAAAACAGAGTATTAAAAAGATCTAATTCAACCAGTGTCCTTGAGCTTGCACAGCGAAGTTTGCAGCCTAAATGTGAAATGAAAAGTTGCAATAAGCTATTTGTCAGGAAATGTTAATTACTGGTCAGTATTAGCACATCTGAACTGAATTAAAGTTCACATTAGCTATTAAAATGTGATTATTTTCATATTTGAGTTGGAGGAGCCTTGAGAAGATCGAATAAATATTGAGACCGAATTGTGGTAGGTTCTCTGTAAACATGAATTGATGGTACAGCAACTCCTCACTTAATGTTGTAGTTATGTTCCTGAAAAATGCAACTTTAAGTGAAACAATGTTAAACAAATCCAATTTTTCCATAAGATTTAATGTAAATGGCGGGGTTAGGTTCCAAGGAAATTTTGGGGGGCAGACAAAAGGCATTATATACTGTACAGTACTGTACTGTGGTGGGGAGGTGCCCCCCAGCTTACTCCTGGGGCTCAGGGCTGGGGGTGCAGGGTCTGGGAGGGAGTTAGGATGTGGGAGGGCACTCAGGGCTGGGGTGTGGGGTTTGGGAGGGAGCTAGGGTGCGGGAGGACGCACAGGGCACTTACCTGGGGCAGCTCCTCTTTGATGCAGGGGATGTGCAGGTGGCTCTGCGCAGCGAGGCCCCGCCCCCATGGCCACGATTCTGGGAACTCCCTTCCCTCCCCCCCCCGGCAGGCAGGGCCATCCGGAACACAGGGGCTTTAGGGGCTGCAGGGCCCTGGCCTGCAGCCCTAAAGCCC